CTAATACTCCTCCTCCTCCTCTCAATCAGCTTCTCACAACAGTCCTGTGAGGTAGGTTAGGCTGAGAGACAGTGACTGGCCCAGAGTCACCCAAGCGATTTTTGTGGCCAAGTGGGGACTGGAACCCAGATCTCTCAGGTGCCCAGTCCAACACTTTAACCACTATGCTACAATGATGGGCAACAGGGTGCCATGACAAGCAGGGCAAGGCTGTATGGTTGTCTTGGGTGGTTGTCTGCTTTGGATAAGTAGAATATGGGTTGTTCTACATCAGACTGTTAATGTGCTATGTCTGTTTTGGGTTTCATCACAGAATGGTAAAGTGTTTTCTTTCACATTTCACAAACGATACTGCATTTTTTCTTGCCCTAAACCAAATTAAGCAAAGGTGCTCTTTAGACACAACAGTAAAACTGGAGGGTTTTGACATCATTTTAAGAAACTGTGAAGAACCATGAGTGTGAAATGACAAGCTCAGGATAAATGCCTTATATAGAAAACCTCTGAATTGTACTCATGGTACAGGACTACTGTAGGTTTCAAAATTTTGCACACCCCTATAGCCCCTTCTGTGTATCACTTAGTCCAGGACCCAACTGTTATTTTTGTAAAAACCAACCGACAAACAAACCCGAAATGAAATCTAGAACTAAACCCTGATGACCTCTTGATAGAACTAAACCTAGATTACGGCCTAGCCAGGATGGCAGTTTCGCTGCCCTTTTGCTCTGAATACAGCTCCTGGGGTGACAAAGAACAAGACAACTTGTTCTGACCATACTTAATCCCTTGCCAAGGCACTGGGTGGATTAGCCACCAACTCGGATAGCTTTTAAAGAGGCCCAAGGCAGGTGCAGAAAGAAGGCAGCTAGATAGTTTACTTTCACTGGTTGCTGGGGCATACAAGTGGAAAGGTGCTAATGCACCCCTATTCTACTCAAACAGAAATTTTGACGGACCCTTGATCTAATCCGGATTAGATGGTCCCTTGATCTAATCTGGCATGGCTCTTTCTACATGCTGAAGAAGTTCCTGATCTACCTTCTGCACAGTCCTACCTGAGGCCAACACTACCTGGAGGGAAATGGGGGTTTTTTAATTGACTTGGTGGGCACAGCATACATGCAAAAGGGCAGCCATCTCCTAATGGTGACGGTGAATTTCTTTGTGCAGGTCCAATGCCGGAAACAGTCAGCATCTGGTGTGGAACACCACCAGCCCTGGCAACTGCCAGCGCCGGAAATATGTCTGCAGCGAAGAGCCACAGAATGAGGTGGTGCTCAAGCAGCAGGAGCAGCAAGACATACCTCTTCCCCCATTGATGAGGGACTCTCCAGCGTCGCTGACCACCAATGGAAAAGCAGACCCCCTTAACGCTGCTCGGACCTCCGTTATGCAAGAACTCTCAGAGCTGGAGAAGCATATCCAGGTGATCAAGCAGGAACTGCAATTAGCCATGAGCAGAAAGCTGGAGCTGGAGGAATTTCAGAGGACAAATAGGACTGCAGAGCCCTAAGCGGCTATGTCCCAGTCCTGTCCCATCCCAGCCTCGCCTCGTCTCCGTAACAATTCATAATGCAATTTTTTTGGGCAATGCCAGAAAGCGGCACCACAAAATCAGCAAGCAATACGTTCTTCAGGCCTCAGCTCCTTCCCTCCTGCAGAGCCAGGGTTGCAGAAGGTGGCTTCTGGTTCCCGGAGTATTTTGGAGAAGAAACAGCTCTCTCTCTGCAACAAGTCTTATCCTAGCAGAAGGGGCAGGGAGCTCTTTAGACACTACACTGCCCAACTCCTGATTTTTTCTCACCACAGTCAAAATGGAATTTCCACTTCCTGGCCCTTTCTGTGCGTTAATTAAAAAAAAGAGCAAAAGAGACTTCAAACGATGATTCAGAATTATGCGTCCTGTGTTTGGATTTTGCTACTTGAAGTGGTTCAGGCCTCCCTAGGGAAATCAGCTTTGGCACACACTAAAGAATCCAAGGCCCTGTGGGTGCTATTTCTCCCCATTATTTCCATTAGCCAGTCTCAACTCCGTTACAGATGGTTGTCCCCTAAAGCAGTTAGACACAGAGATCAATGCCAACAATCAATATACGCTTCTGTTACTGCAAAAACTCATCAGAGTTGACCTACGCCTAATATATTATTGTTTTAGCGTGTGGGGGGTAGTTTTCTTGGAGTATGGTTTGTTTGTTGATTTTTTACTGCCCTTTAATAGAAATGCAAAGGGCAGTTCACATGAAGAGATCGAACACAGTTGGCATTCTGGTCTCTGCTACTGTGGACAGTAAATATGGGAATCATATTTTGAATGCTGTCCAGAATGAACATCACCACCACTGTTGCATTGCTGCACCTCCTGCTCTGGTGCGACAGGTTACTATATGCAGGAAAACTGTTCGGTGGAAGGCATTCCAACTATGACTTCCCATCTCCACTTGAAACGGTATAGCCCTTCTCACAGTAAACCATCAGGGCAGGGCTCAGCCACCCTCAGGTTTCTTTCCCTTCGCGAAATGATCCCGCCATTGCCCTCGGCAGGCCCGGCTGCCCCTCACTCTGTTGAAGCTACGGGAAAGTGATCTATTGTAGGGTTTTATGGTGTGTCCGGCTGATGGAACCTGTTGCTTGAGGCTGGTGGCCGGGGGCCTCCCGCTCATCGGTTGGCTCCCAAGGCCGACATGAAGGCTTAATGTTTTTGAAGTGCAGTGGTATCCTTCAGTGAAATGTGTTGTGTACGTGGCCAGTGGCGGCTTGCTCTGCAGTTGTCCGTGTCTGTTCTTATGCGGGTGCTATGCGAGCTGCAGCTGATACAGTATCTGGCATACCAGCAACTGGCAAATCATCCAACCTCCCATGCCCCCACCTGACCCGACATGCACAGTAGTATTGCAGCTATTGCCCTGTTTATGTACTGAGTTGTACGGTCCAGTTTCCATAGATCAGGGATGGAGAACGTCCAGCCACGAGGGGTAATACACCCATCCAGTCTTCAGAGGCTCGGTAGTCCTGCTCTTAGAGGAAAGGTAGCTAGCAGGGGAGGAATTCCCTACACTTACCTGTGTTCAAGGGATCACAGGTAACAGGAATTCCCCTGCGCGCAGCCCCTCTCCCAATGTGCAGATAGTATTGGTGTTCGCACAGCGTTCAGGTCAACGGTGGTTTCGTCTCCTGTGCAGTTAGGCTGGGTGGCACACTTAACTTCCAAGCCAGAGAGGTTCACCATGTTAGGGGAATGTGCTTGTGGAATCTAACCTAACCGTAGGACCGGAATGCACGTATGTGGAATGCCATGGGAGCAGTGAGAGGAGACTACAGCTATTACAAACATGTACCTAGACCGGAACCATCCAATGACAGGCTTGCTCTCCAGTTTTCCTTCAAGCTGGGGATCCATCAGAGAAAAATCAGCCAACAGATGGGCTTATCTTTGACAGAATGCTCTCTATGAAAGCCTCAGGCTGCAGCTACATGGAGATGGGCATCCACCACTGAATTTTGGCTGAGTTTTCCTCCAGCATACAGACCTCCCAGGGCTGAGAACCCAAATGTGTGTGCTGGCCAGTGCCTAGAGACCATCCCCTCCCACCTGTCACCCTGTCTAAAAGCCCCTCTCTGAAATATACTGGCATTTTCTAACATTCTGACTGAAAGCCAGTACAATACATCTTGCATCTTTGGTGTAAATTAATATATGAAGTCTTTCTTGACTTCTGCAAGTCACCCCAGGCCATCTCCTTTTCTAGATGAAAGCTGGTTGGGGTCATGGTTGTATGTTTTTGGTTTTAAATAAATTTTAATACTATTTTTTTAGGCTGGTTGATTTACATTATGGTTTGGGTTTGTTTGACATAAAGGAAAATGCGTGGTGCAGTGGTAAAATCTTTTTCAAACGGATTGTTCAACCGTGGAATTCACAACTTTCTTATTTCTCACAGAGGTGTATTATTAGCAAGAATGTTATTTATTTATTTACAGCAGACCTCATTCTTCTTGCATGCTTGCATGTTAACAAGATGCATTCCAATACTGGACAGAGTCCAGATAAACCTAGACATATTTGAGGTCCTCCATGATAACTGACCATGCTGAGGCCCATGGAAATTGGAGTCCAGCAACATCTGGAAAACTCCAGGCTCCTCATCCACATATACACACAGATGAGACAAAACCATTCCCCATGCAGTGCAAAACTGATCCATGATATTCATGGATCATCACAAGACATGTTATGTCTACTAACTTAAGATGGCTTTTAAAACAATTATATAGGATTTTTAAAGGATAAATCTATCAGTGGCTCCAAACCATCCCAAGCACAGTATCTGTATTAGTGGGGGCTAATTTGCCCCACTATTTGTGTTGGAGCGATCTGCATAATTAACCTCACCAGTGCAGCTTGCTGAGTCATGCAAACCTGGAACCTGGATGGCTATTGCCATGGTCAAGAAGCCACCCAGCATCCATATTGTGGAATCACTCATTAACCACAGAAACAAGCCACCCTCACTGCACTGACACAACAGGCAAGCTGCGTCCACCACAATCATTATGCAGATCTCCTAGCACATGGCCAACACTTCCAGCAGTTGTTTCAACAGACCCTTTGTTGAAAGTAAATGCCAAAGGTCTGCTGTGTGAGCACGGGAAGGAACCTTCCACTGAACTAGCAGAGCAAACCAGAGAAATCAGTCTCAAAAGGTCAAGTCTTGTTCTATGAACTGAGATATGCTGGTGTTTTGGCTGCAACCACCACTTGAATGTCATTCTGTCTCCCCCTGTACCCCGCAACCTTCTCCAATGTGGAAGTCATATCTCAGGCCGAGAGAGCTTCCCTACACCTCAAAATGTCCCTCAAGAAACCCACACAAGCTGCAGCCATGCCTACAAACCCATGCTACCCGCAAAACAAAGCAGCACTGGGACCTTTCAGTTAGCAAAACCAGAGAGATGCAACCCCAAGAGAGAGCAATAGTGAGGGTCCACCAAGAAAGCCGTTAAAACCTCTGATTTTTTTTATTGAAGCAGCTACACTTCCAATCAGTCATTTTCATAGCCAAACAAAGTCAATAAAGTATGTGTTGGGAAAGGAAGAAAAGACTGAAATACCTGATGGACTAGCCAGTCACCCCAACTTCTCCACCCAGCCTCAAAGCGAATCCCTAATGGAATGAGGGTCTCAAGGGCCTAGTCCAGGCTTCAACACTTTGCATCAGTCCTATATGGAACAGGGCATGGTAGCGAGCCTCCTTCACGGCCCACTGAGCACACGGGTTGAAATCAGCTCCCATCCAATGAAATGCCTTCATGCAATTCTTTGGCCGTGAAAAGGCAGCGGACAGAATGGGCCCAGAGCTCCTATTCATGGAGGCCTTTAGACACATTCACTCTAGGTCACATACTGGAGATGTGAAAGTGCACCCTCACCCTCTCTCATGCCACGTTGAGTCACGCACAGCTGCTACGCGAGGGCCCAAAGCATGAGCCAGTCGAAGAACATGGCTCCAGCTCTCCCGCTTCTGGCAAACCAAGTTGCACACAGTTCAAGACAAGGTGAGAGAAGGCTGCCCTTCCTTCTGATGCCTCAGCCTCCATTAGGAACTTCACTGGCCATTCCTGCCCCAATTCAGGGGCTCAATGTTAGACACGTCAGTGGTCCCGCTGCAGTGATTTTCTTCAGATACCGGGGTTCCTTGCTCCTGCTTGCTAGCTTGGTATCAGTTGCCACACCTCACAACGAACAACCTGCACAAGGAACTACCACAGTGTCACAAGTCCCTCAATGGATGCAAGTGGACTTACACAAAGCATTGACTGGGGAGAGAGCCGTTTCCTCTTTTACTGGAAAAAAGGGAGAGGGACGGGGGAAAAAACAGAAACAAGAGGCCTTTTTAAAAGTTCCCCAGGCCAATCCCCTAGCTTTAAGAATGTTGCCTGGTTCAGCAGCAGGCCAACTGGCATCCACCAGAACTGGGACCCATTTTGCCCAAAAAGTCATCCTGCAGGCAACAAACAGGGACTGACGGAGGGAGGCTGGCAGTGCTGAAAAAGAAATGGCCAAATGCAAAACACAAGGTGGGGAGACAGAACCCCACCGTACTCGCTAGCGAAAGGCGACTCGTCTTTACAAACAGTAGGGGAGGTGCTGACAGAGAGGCGCTGTATCCGGCCAGCGGATGAGTGACCAGGGTGGTGGCAGAGAGGCCTCTTCAGCCTCACGCAGCCAGAACTCAGCCGATGTAGATACGGTGGAAGTCGTTGGCCCCGAACGCGGCGTTGCACTTGGGGCACTTGCGCTGCCTGGTGTCGTAGCGGGTCTTCACGCACTCGAAGCAGAAGACGTGGAAGCACTTGGTGAGCACGGCGTCCTTCTTGCGCATGTTGCAACAAGGGCAGGTCAGGCGGGCCTTTGGAGAGCGAATTGGACTGGTAAGAGCCAACACGGCTGCTGGCAAGGGCAAGTTTTCTTCCTCTCTCCTATCTAAGAAACTGTGCTTGCTTTTGACATCAGGGTCCCTGAAGTGCAGGACTGTAGGCCCATTAGGGTCCACCTGGGGTTGCAGACGGGCTGGCCAGAGCTCCCTGGATGACCGTGCCCTTTTCCCCACACCCTACTCCATTTCCCTGGACTGCCAACTGTTTTGTAACTTCCTGGGTTCTACACAATTCACCCATGCCCGGTTCTAAATAGTTGAAACGCCTCTCCTGGTAAGAGCGTTAAGCTTCAATGTGGCCATACTGTGGCCCCGCCCCATCTGCCTTTGCCCCACCCACCACTGGACCGCACCAGGATTCAGCCTCAGGCTAGAAGAGGGTCAAGAGCCTTGATTTCTATGCCAAAAGCCAGAGGGTTCCCTTCTGCGATAAAATAACTCCTGCTTATGGACTGAAGGTATTTCCAGAGGGTTTCTGCCACATTCCTTGATTAGCAACTCCCTTGAGCCTCACTAAAGGAGATTCTGGTCCTTTTCAACCCTAAACCCAGCTAGGCCCACAGCTGGGCCTTGAGTCCAAAGGGATTCTAGTGCCAAATTGCCTACCTTGTAATCTTTGATCTCCTCCATCAGGATCTCATCACAGTTGGGAACCATGTCAGGTTTCTTGGTGGTCTCCAGTTTCCTTCGTAACCTTGAGATATCTTCCTGTAAGAGAAATAGTAGCCAAAGGAGGCCTCTCAATAGGACCAACAGCCCCTCTTCTCAGAGCTCCTCCACTGAAGGCCGCAGAGCTCCCAGCTCTGAATGGGTAAACCTGCCGAAGCAGTCAGAAGCCCCTTCCCCTTCCTGCTTCTGTATCCCTCCAAAAAATAAAGACCAGGAGGGAAAGGAGGCAGTGGTCAGGCATCCTCCTGCTGAGCCAGGATACAGCTCCCGCTGAAGCCAGCAAAGGGCAAGGAGGCGGTCACCCATCCACTCTGTGGAGATCCAGCCCCATAACCAAATGAACTTGGCAAATAAGAGTGTCGTGCTTTTTTTACACCCCCATCCAGACCCTTTGTCTTTTTGTGTCATGCCTCTGAGGTTGTAAGAGAGGGCTGCCTTATTTCTGGAAGCCTTAACTGAAGAATGGGATAAAATGCTTGGAATAAATTTTTAAAAAGCAACACAGAAGGCACTCACAACACACTGAGGGCATACAGAGGCTGTCAGCCATTAGGAGAGAGGCTTTAGAAATGCCTGAAAAATATCTTTATGAGTGACTATGAGCAAAACGGACACCTCTGGAGACGGTATATCCCAAACCAGAATGCTCTGGAGGTAATCAGCTGGGGAGGGCCCTTGCCTTGATGAACTTCCTGGAGGCATTTGGTAGGGCACTGCTTGGAAACCAAAGGCTGGCCCCAGATGTGAAGACTCGCAGAGCAGTTCTCATGTAGGCATCCACGGCCAGCCTGGAAGCACCCAGAGGAGCAACAAGTGGAAGAGCTGCTGGGGCGCCAGGCAACAGGGACAGGAATACCAGGGAGGGGGAAGCCAGGGTGGCTGAGCATAAACGGTTCCCCAGTGATTCGAGTCAACACACCTTTGCCTGAGGTGGCTCGTTACCTGGGCTCGCTTGAAGTTGAACATGTCCTTCTCCTTTGTCACGCTGTTCTCCACAATCTCATCCTGGAAGTCATGCAACTTCTTCTGGGCCAGCTCCAGCTGGGCCCGAAGGTCATCGGCGAGCTGAGCCGCATCCATGGCCTACAAGGGAAGAAGGCAAGGAAGTTTCTGCCACTGGGAATATTACCAAAATGGACAGGCTCGTCCAATTGCACAAATTTGATGTCCCACTTTGATCCTTAGAGGAATCTGTAAGTGTTTTGTCAGATATGCTCCTTACAAGTAGTGAATAAAGTTTCAAGCTTGTTTTGGAGAAGCTTCACCCAGAAAACAGAATGAAAATGAGAAACATTCTCTGCTTGCAAAAAAAAGGTTCAGGTGTGCAAAATTCCCGAGCCCCATCAGCTGGGGGTGGGAGGGGGGATGGCCAAGATCGCGCCCGTCTTTCCTGCAGGAGCATGCCCGTGATCACACCCGTCTCCCCACTCAGCACACCCGCGTTCGCGCCCATCTCTCCCCCCAGCACGCCTGCCTCTCCCCTCCAGTGCACCCACTTTCGCGTCATCTCTCCTTCCCCCACCCCGCTCATGCTTGGGGAGGGGGGGGAGATGGCTGCGATCTTTGTTGCTCTTTGTCACTTTACTTCACATTTTTGTGAGTAAAAAAATAGTTACAGAACGGATTAACCTTATTTACATTGAACCTTATGGGGAAATTTAACTTGGCTCATGACCAATTTGGGTCACGACCACAGTCCTGGAATGGATTAAGTTCGTGAGCCAAGGTACCACTCTAACAGGGTTTTCCTGACTTGGTACAGAACTCTCCAACATCCGAATAAGGAGGGAATGACATGCTACAGCAGACCATTCCAATTCAAACTGCATGTAAAGTGTCTTTTTTAAGAAAACATAATACTCTCCCAAGAAATATCACTAACTACAAGCAGCACAGCTCACTATCCGTAGGGGAAAATACTTTTACTGGGGAATGTTCAAGACTTCTGATTCTGTTCTTGAGGTTAACAACACAGCCACAACAGGTTCTCATGTTATGGAAATCCAGATCACTTCCTCCAAGGTGGATGGTCTGTGGCAACAAACCACCACGTGAACACATGAGAACACTGCGGGCGGCCACACTTTCTGAACCCGGACGACCAACCTTATCCTGGGTACAGGGAAGCAGCGGGTGAGCCCTTGGCAAGAGGAGCAACACCAGCTGCCGCTTTTGCCAAGTTTGCCTGGGCCACTGCCGAGGACAGCCAGGCCACCTCCGCCCAAGTGCCGTGCCAGGGCAGCAGTCACTGGCTTTCTGCTCCCTCCTATGACCCTGCGCCCGTTTTCACTCACTACAACCTCCCCCCCCCCCCCCCCTTTTTTCAGAGATCGCTTTCCACAATTTTTGAGCTGACCGCCAGTGGCCGTCCCTGCTTCACCACGCCTTTAAATCATTTTGAAACACAAGAAAGATGCACAGATGTCTTCACTGTGAAGGTACTATGCAAGGGTAGAGGTGAGCACTTCCAGGTGTCCAAACCAGGGACCCTCAGCCAGGCAACTCTCTGGGGACTGCCTGCTGACAAAATGTGGTAGGTAACAACCATGGACAGTGACTGAGAGAGGCAACAGATAGATTTATTTTTACTCTGTCTTCACGCCTAAGGGGTGACTAGATTACCCCTTCATGAAGAGACCCTCCAGGTATTTTCTGGTTGGACTAGCCTGTTCTCAGTTTCCTGTCATTCAGGATAGCTGCCAAAGCTCAGACTTCCTATTGAGATTTCTGACAGCCCATCCAGCATGCGCAATGCTCAGGAATTCTGGGAGCTGCAGTCCAAAATATCTGGAAGACACCAGAGCTGGCAAGTCCAACCCATGCCAGATAATTCTTATTTCTGCACCCTGTGTTTATTTATTTTAATGTATGTGTACCTCTATAACGCTCAATGATCTCTAAGCAGGAAAAAGGATTCATTTCTGGTACAGCAGCCAAACAACATACGCTTTTTGGGGGGTGGGTAGGGGAGCTCAGCTAGGCTAGTCCAATAGCATCATTCCACCCTGTTGCATGGATGCAATTTTTCTGACAGGGAAACCCTTCCCAGCCAGAGCATCATCAGTCACTCCTCTTTGCCTGACCTTCCAACCCTCAACCCCTTCAGCTCTCCTGTTCCTCTCATCACTGATCCCTCCCGGAAGGCCTTACTGGCCTCATTATTTCCAGCTAGCTGCCCTGTTCATTATTCCTTTGAAGTTCTGCATTGCTTCTCATCCACTGCCCCTTTTTGTCCTCATCAAAATCACTTTGTAGCCGTGGCTTGTCCTTTTCTTTTTCAGCTTTCTGTACTCCAGAGGGTTTGTAATATGGGGTTTTTTATGTCCTAATTACAGAATTATTTGGTATTTTCTCAATGTTTCCCCCAGAGGGAGATCAAACAAAATAAGCATCCCTCCCTATTATCAAGGATACAAATGCTCAAAAGGAGTTGCACAACCACTGCAGCACAGAGAAAGATCTTCATAACCATCTTTTTGGCACCAGGCAAAGTCCATCCAGCTTCTTCAAGTTTTTAATGAAATTTGCTTTGATGTTTCTGGGAGAACAGTTCTTCCTGTCATGTGAGCTGCTCCTTCACTTGTTTTATTGATTGCATGCTGCTGGCTCCTGTTTTATTAGATTGCTTTCTCGTGATACCCTATCATTGCTTTCTCTTCTTTTGTGACCCTCCTAAACGTGCCAAAGGCAAGCTCCAAATCGATAATAATCAAAGAGGCCATGTGCCCACCCGTCTGTCTGCTCCAGGACTGCCACACCAATAGCTGCAGCTTGGCCTGAGTGCTAAGGGGATCTCAGGACCGTGCACCTCGAGACTACCTTGGGTTTTAAACACATCAAATAGTTTTACTTATAAAGCACCCATGTGCTGAGCCTGCAGTAGCATCTCTAGCTAGCAGGGACAGACCTCTCTCACCAGCACGACTGTGCCGTGCTTACTGCATTAGAGGAGAGGGCAAAGCAACCCAGCAACAGGGCTGCTGCCTGTCAGGGAAAGAGGTGGACAGCACCCCCCACAGGGGACTATCGGGATGTGCCACGGCAGGGCGAGGAGGCCAGGGGTGCCAACAGGCATGGCTTCCCTCAGACGGCCCAGGCACGATGGGTCCAACTCTGACATCAGGGGAAGTTTGCTCAAGGACTTGGATGTCTCAGACTAAAAGCTATTCCACCCCATACAAAGCCAGGCCTGCTCACCAGCCCTAAAAGAAATCTATGTCTGATCCTATTTTAGTGTCATCCAGATTTATACCTGCCTTTCCTCCCAGATGCTCAAGACAGCACGAATGACTGCCCTCCCCTCCCCGCATTTCACCCTCAAAGCCATCCGGGCTGCGGTACCTGGGTCATTACCTTGCGCTTGTTCATCTCCAGCGCCTGGGTTCGCAGCCCCAGCTCCTTCTCTCCGGTGCCAATGTTGCTCTGCAGGAGATGCTCCTTCTCCTCCAGCTTGCGCACCACTTGCAACTGGGCATCCACCTTCAAGGGGCAGAGAGGAGGGGGGGGGGAAGGGAAGTGCCCAGCAGAGAAGGGAGTGCACTTCGTGCTGGCAGGCATCCACACTCTGCACCACACTCAGGCAGCGTCCTGAGCTTTGCAGGAACTCAGTGAAGTGGCTTATGGGACACAAGGCTCTGTGCTTTCGCTACTGATGGGGCGAAGAAACTTGGAGATGGGCGTGAGAAAATTATGCCGCAACCAGAAATCTCCTTTCACCCAGCATCGGAGATCCATGTCACAGGTCCCCTTCCAAGGCTATCCCGCCCCCAGGACCACATTCTGTTTCAGAGGTGCTCTCAGGAGCTGCACTCCAGCAGTGGTTGAGGCTGAATGCCCCGTGGGCAGGGACGAAAACCACCACTGTGCTTACTGCAAGTGCTTACTGCAAGTAACTAACTCTCTTTGGGAGGATTGCCCAAAGTCAAGAAACCACTGAATGATAAAAGAGTGGGGGCAGAAAGAGGGGAACCACCTGATGGTGAGGCCTTGCTCTTGCTGATGGCAGTGCAGGGTGCTACCTCATGCTATTGAAAGCTTCTCTGTACTTAAAAAAAGCTCCATCCACTTGAGTTCTTAGCATGTCAGGAAAAGGGCCTTCCTCTTGGACAGACTAGCTCTCTGTGTGCGGGGAATTATTTTCAGTGAAACACCATTCAGTCATGTCACCCCCTCCCCCCTTTGCAGTCTGCAGCTGTAGACTTATCCCTGCTGAAAGAACCAGATGTTATTGGGGTCCAACATGGCCAAGGGGGAGGAATGCCCAAAGTTCTAGCTCTGGGGGACCACAGGCCCTCTCATCCCCTGCAGGCACACACTGGGTTTTGCTTGAAGATGAAAGGCAACATTTTTAAAGAGCTGAATTATGCATCTGGAGCCACATGAAGTACTTTTTCACGTGCATCTGCAGTAGTGTATTTGAGTGCCGCATGTCAAGGTGCCGTTCCTCACTATTCCACACAGTTACACCCTCCAGTCAGATCGTGTTTCGAGCAGGAGTCCACTGCTGGCTCCTGCTCTTGCCCCTCCTCCTCCTCCTGCTCGCCCACGTACCTGCGTCTTCAGGGTGAGCACCTGGTCCGCTAGCTCCTCCTTCTCTTCCTTTAGCAGCTTGTGGATCTGGTTGGATTTGATGCGTTCCGACATGAGCTTGAAGTTGGCGTCGTCCTTTTCCCTCAGCTGCTGCATCAGGCGAATGTTCTGCTCTTGCATGTCCTCGAAGGCCTGGCCTGTCACGTCCATCTCAGAGAGCAGTGCCTCTTCTTCCTGTCATCAAGCAGAAGGCACCAAAACAAGTTCTCACGGACAGGAGATAAGGGAGCCATTTCATAAGGAAGGGCACTTTTCCCAGAAGTACCTCATGTTTCCCCTGCTGCAGGCTTCCCCAACCAGGTGCCCTCCAGATAGCTTAGACTACAAGCTCCATCACGCTCCAGCCAGCACAACCATTGAATTGACTACGCCGGGATGATGGAGCAAATGCAGCGGGGCTCTTGGAGTATACTCCACACTCATCAACTGATTCACAGACCCCTGTGCTCTGGGGTGCCTTGAACTCTTCAGAATGGGGCAGGTTATATGGGCACGTACTAGCCAAGGGTCATGACAACGACACTCAATGGGCCGGGCCAGGAATGAAGTTGGCACCAGCTGATGGGGCTCGTGATGTTTGGATGGGAAGGGCCTCAGCTCAGCTGCTGAGCACCCACTTTGCAAGCAGAAGGCCCAAGGTCTGGTCTCCCAGCAAGCCCAGGTAGGGTTGGGAAAACACCTGCCTGAAACCTTGGAAAACTGCTGCCAATTGGTGTAAACAGTAATTGCAAGATGGACCAGTGGCAGGACTCAGCAGAATGCAGCTTCCTACATGCCTAACTTAGGACAGACAGGAAGTGTCACCATCCTGGGACTTAGCATCCTGGGACATAGTAAAGAACAGTATATAAAAGCTTTAAAGAAATAAAATATCACCATCCTAGGAACACAGTCACCTCTTGCTTTTCTCCTTAAAAGCAGCCAAAGGTTTTAGCACCCCAGAGGAACATGACAGCTACACCCACACAGGCTGGAAAGCCTTCTTACAAATGCTCCTCACCTGCTTAGCCATGGCTAGTTTCTTTTGCAAATATTCTATCTGTTCCTCCACTGCTCGGATCTTCCTGAGTGCATCCTCGTCGGCCATCTTTTTGCTCTCTTTTTTCTCCTTGTCCTCCAACTCCTTCACTCGTTGCCTTAGCTCATCTAGCTGAAGCAAGCAGAATTGGGAGAAGGGTTTCAAACCAAATTATGGGCATTTTTAATGGATTTCAAAGCAAAAAAGAGGGATTTCTAAAAGGAGGAGAATTCAAAAGGTACTGAACTTTACCCATCATCTCCTGGGAAATTTTTTTCTAGAAAACATGGTTTCAAGGAACTGAACACTGAAAGGAACCCGTGTGTAGCAATTTCTACAATACAGGATTAACAGAGTGTCATCCCATCTGAATTCTCATGTTTCACAAATAAAATGGAGGTTTGGCTGCATTGGATCATGAAGACAGTTCTCACTTTTAAGTTTCTGGGAGGTTTAATGATGCCTTGTGAACCATACTGAAGGTCCTGCTTGTGATAGGACAGGATATAAATACTTTTAACAAACAGATTGGACAACAGCACAGAAAATTACCTCAGCTTTGGCCTTCTTCTCGGCAGCCATCAGCTGTACTTTGTCTCTCTGCTCCTTTGGGGCAGAGCGGTACATATCTAACAACAGCTTCATTTCTTTCTGGCTTTCTTGGGCCTTCCTGAGTTGGGGAAAAGATGAAACAAAATACGGCAGGAGCAAAACAGAACATCATCTCCTTCAAATCAAGGACTGTGCTTTCAACTTCCTAGCCTGTGAAGGCTAAAACACTCAATCTTTCTGTGGATCCCTTTCCTGCCAGCTAAAGAATGGAACCTCGTATCCTAATAAACTGTGCACCACTGAACTGGAACAGCTGGTTGGGGCTCCAGAGGAAATGTGCAAGAACTCTCTCTCCTTCTGGGAGGTTTTCCAGAAATCGGAGCTCAGCATCCCAGAGACAACTGGCTTGGCCCACTCACCCCACTGCCTAGTACTGGCTAAGAAATACAATGCATCCTTATAGCACAACCTGTTGTGTGGCAAGGCTACCCCTGAAAAAGGTTCAGAATCTTCTGTGAGCTACTGTGAGCTACAAGACTGCTGGCTGGTCAATCTGAGCACATCTCATCAGTACTCTGCTGTCTTCAGCAGCTTCCAGTCTATTTCTGGCTCCAATTCAAGGCCCTCCAAGGCTTGAGATCATCTCTCCTTTCTTGGACCTGCAGAGGCTCTGCTACAGGCGACCCTGCTGTGTGAAGTGTGATGGGTGGCTGCCCTTCTCAGTGGTGGCTGTGAAATGATGCCAGCTAAAGGACTTATTTTTCCAAACATTTTGGCCTGCTTCAGATTAAGGCAGAATCATTGGACCATTTTAACTCTCTGTGACTGTTTTTATGTGTGTGATTATTCTTTCTACTGTTACTGAATTTTACTTATTTATTGCAGCAATCTGTCCCAAGAACCTTGCTATAGAATCGCTGACAAATATGGTCAAAAGCTTACACACAGAATCCAGAAGCGGACACAGTGGCTCAGATTGGACAGTTCTAGCCCGTGAACTAGAAATGAAATCCCGCTTAGCTACATTTGCTGCACTTCTTCCTGCCAAGGGCCAGTGTGGGCAGTCCCCCAAAAAATCCCAGGTGACTGCGGGTGAATCCAAGCACATCATTTGGGCTCTCGGCTGGAGGACCCAGGTTTCACCCCTCTCTACTTCTCCTTCTCTCTCGCAACCCCAAACGACATCCAACAATCAAGAGATGACTCTCCAGGAAAAAGGTGCCTTACTTAAGATCAGCCTTCAGCTGCTTGACCAGTTCTGCTTCCTTTTTCCTTCCATCGTCATGCTTTCCTTTGTCCTTCTCCTTGGCAGATTCCCTCTCCTTCTCGGACTCTTTCTGCTTCTGCTTCTCTCGCTCCCTTTCCTTCTCTTTCTCCTTCTCCCGTTCTCGCTCCTTCTCCTTCTCTTTCTCCTTCTCCCGCTCCCGCTCCTTTTCCCGCCGCTCCCGCTCCCGCTCCTCTTCATCCCGCTTTGCCTTGGGGTCCGGGGCGTCCTCAGGGGCACTCCTGGGGACCACTGGCTGAGAAGACGGATCCTCTGGTTCCTGCTTGATCTCCAGCAGCTCCTCCTTGGCGTCCTCTGTGCTGGACTGGGAGTGCAGGAGGGCAGCTCCACTGCGGGAACGGGTCTGGAGCAGAATGGCAGAACACACGCACACAGCCGGTGAGCAATGCTTTTCCGCAAGGGCTCTGCATCGTCTTCTCTAGCACTCTCGCTTGACTCCTCAGAACCAGAACAGGACTGTCTGCGATCAGGCACCCCAGAAGACCACCCTGCCCCACCTGGTCTGCAGAGCGTCCCCAGGGACGGTCGTACCTTAGTGCAGCTCTAGATCTTTGCACTGCTACTGGTTTTCACTTTGGGTTTAGTTTTCAGTAGTTTTTAAAATTATACTATTATTTTATTATGTTATTTTTAATGTATTATCCCATTGCATTTTATGGTTCAAGCTTTGGCTACTGGGCAGTGTAAAAAATAATTAGGCTCTCTCTACCTCCCTCATACACCCACAAAATCAATCACAATCTAGGGCTTCGCTGATTGGTAACAAGACAAGAAAAATGTGGAAAATAAACCATCAGTTTTAGCACAGTATTCAGCACAGTTAAATAAAAAAATCTTTGGAGAAGCAGTAAGAAATTATCTGATTTAGGTAGCATTTCCTTTTAAAAAGAAAGGCATATTTAATACACATACTTACAAAAACTACAGGTGGCAAACACCCTCTTAGAAAAGGTATCCCCCCCCCATCCCTTCCCTTTCACACACATGCAAATATGACCTAACACATCCCCCCTCTTCCCTCTCCCATCTCCAACATGTCTCCACTTCTACACCTCCTTTACCTTGCTCAGGTCAGACTGAGCCTCCCGCAGTTTGCGTTTGTATCTCAGCACTTCCCCTTTCAGCTGGTGGTTGTGGTTCTGGAGGCTGCTGATGAGGTGCCGCATCTCCCGATTGATGGGGCCTGCACAAAAACCATCATGCTGGAACAGCTCTATGACAGCAAGACTCCACAGTTCTGCTGTAAAGAACTGGGACAGGCCCAAACGGACCGGCTCGTCCGCCTCCAACCACTGAAGGACAATACCTGTATTATGCTAGAGGGATTGGAAACAAGAGCTCATCGAGAAAACACTTGTTATCACGCACACCACCCCCCGGTTACCCAGTGGTTTTCTCACACCACCTAGAGCAAGGATGAGAAACCTTCTACCATCATGTCCATGAAGGTCACATTCCTTTAAAGAAAAGTGGGAAGGACAGGTTGGTGGCACCACAGCCAGCAACACACACAAATACCCTACACATGCACCGTTTCTGCCCTCTTCCCCTGCTGCACTGTTTCCCTGCTAATCCTCACAGCAGTGCATGGAGGACTGACTACAGGGCAGAAGGCAGAAGCCATCTCTCCCTGTGATCTCCTTGACACTGATCAGCTGAGAAATAACTGGGCAATGTGGAGAAAGGGGAAGCGCTATGAAGCAGTGGGAAGGGCCCCAGAGGATGGCAAGGCCTGGAAGGAGAGGCGAGTGGGTCAGAGGAGGAGAACCCCCAAGATGGAGGAGTCTCCATGTGCTGGAGGCTCCCCACTCCTCTCTCATCCTTTCTAGACAGCATAAAAATGTGTTCTCCATATCCATGAGGTCGAGAAAGCTGCTTTTGAAATGGATGGAAAATAGGAACTGACAACCAAAATCGGCAACCTGGAAGGATTTTACCCTGAGTGATGGGTAAGGGAGAGATATGCTTAAGAGTGAGACAACACAGCAAGAGCACAGAGTGTGCTTTCACGCAGGCACCTCGCCAAAAGAGAGTGGCATCCTGCTCGACCCCATAGTCAGGGCTGAGCCAAAAGATCACCCGGGCTGTGGGGCAAGTCAATGTAATGCTAGGGCTGGGTGGTCATCTGGCAGGGATGCTGCGCCTGCACAGAGTGCCAGGCCAGATGAGATGATCTCTGCGGTCCCTTCCAACTTCATGATCCGAAAAGACTGGCTAGTGCTACTGCTGCTAAAAGCAGGACAGCGCTCGGTGGCTTACCTCTGTAGGGGAAGTGACGTGGCCACAACTCAGATAATTTGGACACTCACTGAAGGAAGCATCCAGTGAAGAAAGTATCAGTGTCTCTTGACAAGACCTGGCCAGAAGTACCTGCTTGCTCGTTGGCTGCAAGGGTCTGCTCAAACTCAATTCGCAGCATCTCGTACTCCTTGCGGACCTGAGCAAGGGTGTCCTCCAGCTGAATAACCTCCGTTCGCAGTTTCTTGTGTAGGCTGACTTCATCCCGCTAGTGAAGGAAACACAGAATGCAACTTTGATGCTGATGTTTCCAACAATAAAAGCTGCCCTTTGCGGTGGGAGGAGCTGCTGAAGCATAGCCAGAAAATAAGGTTTGGAAGATGGAACAAAAGGGGTGGGGGGTCTTTTCAGAGGTGCCCCTCCATTGTGGAAAATGTAGCAACAACAATACCACCTTTTCAGCACCAGGTTAAGACTTTCCACTTCATCCAGACATCTGGGGCTTCTCATTTTAATTTGGTGGCTTTATCAGCTCTTGTTATTTTGTGGTTCATGTTCCTTCTTCCTCATTACATTTCTACATCTTCCAATCATTAAAGCTCTCTGGGCAATTTAAAAAGGATATAAAGCCCAAAACTACAGTATAAAAGAACGCACAGGCAGACATACACCTGCCTAAAAATATTTTTAATACCAACAAGAAAAACCGCAAGACCTGATTAGAAACCTCATCCATGTGCTACCAAAGGCGTGAGACAATGAGATGTTAACCTGGCACCAGTAAGAACAATGCAGACACCAGGCGGACCTTGTTGAGGACATCCTTCCATAACTGGGGACCCAACTGAGAAGGCCTCCCCTTGTGGCCACTTCCAAGGTCCCCTGGAAGAGGAGGAGAAGGGTGAATACTGCTGCATACAGGAAAGCTCACTGTTAAGTATTTCTAGCTGTTGGAAACGTTTACATTTTTTGTTTTATTTTCTGTTGCAAGAGGCCCTGGGAATTTTTCTGAGAAAGGCATCTAGTAAAATTGTATGGTAATAATACTAATGATGATATTACTGTGATTATTATTATTTGGATAAAATACATTCCTTCAAATATGGACCAACCAGCTCTTTTCAGAACCCCTCCTGAACAACCAGAAGCACATGCTTTGAGACAGACCAGCCATTCCTCATCCGCGATGTTTGCATGCCATGCGGCAGCTGCTGCCTTTGCCGCAACTGGAGGCAGAAAGGAGGGCTCCGCGGGCTCAGCTGTAACATCAGCCAAAGCACCTCCACTTAGTCTGCTGATCGTGAAGCTTGGCCCCAGGTCTGGGACAGAGAAATGGCTGCCTGTGTGGTCCCTCTATCCACCCCCTCCCCAGTGAGGTAGAGGCTCAGAAAGGGGAAGGGCGTCCCTCCCCTGCAACCTTTATTGCGTCTACTTGGCATCTCAAAGAGGACGGAAATTAGACCCAGTCTGCTTGCTCTCCCTCTGGCGGAGAGAAAGAACACGCAACATACAAACTCTGCTGAATGCCAAACACTGTGGGGCTCACGAGACTCGCGTCCTGATAAGGACACACCATGCTACCTTATGCCGAGTCAGACCATCCTTGCATCACACACTTACCAGCAGTGACGGCGTGCTGGAGAAGCCATGGGCTGCATCTGGATTGCTCTGCATGCCTTACGTCTGAGCTATGGACCACTCCACTTTCACATTAAGGGTCCAACTTCCTCTCCCAGTTATGGCAAGGGAAACCCACCGGAGGCATGAACTGGCCCCTGCGGAAGACACAGTGCCTGCCTGCCCACCGGCTGGCCTTACCAATACCTGGTGAAAAACCTTACCCATCACAAGTGGCCATAGGACGAGTTCTCAAAAAGCCACTGTCTACCCAAGGGCATTTTCATCAGTCCCTGCGCTACTTCCTTATCCCGTGTCCTCAGCTAGACTGAAAGCTTTCTGGGTGGAAGCCTTGTCATTTCTCTTCTCCACAGAATACCACAAGGCACCACTAGTGCTCATTAAATCTAACCACTGACCCGTTCAGCTGAGGAGCACATTCAGTTTTGGAGGCAGACTGGGGTCTCTTGGCTCCTCCCCCTTGAAAAGTTGAAATACCCCAGCGTATTTTAGCTTAAAGTTCCTATTTCCAGTAATTATACCTTAGGAGAGGTATTCCAACCTTTCAGAAAAAGGTCACACAACCCTAGAAGCCGCTAAACAGATAAGGGAAACGGGCAGGAGCCAAGGGAGGCAAGCATGGCTAACTTGGGACCCCTGGAGGGCCAGATTTGGCCTATGGGCCTGAGGTTCTGCACCCCTGCTTTAAACAGCCACAGCATTCCTGTTTGCATCCTCCCAGATCCCAGTAAGGAGGAAACAGTGAAACAAGGCACTTACCTCAATGAGTTCCACCTGGCGCTGGTGGGTGCTTCGGGTGCCATGAAGCAGCGTGCGGGCCTCATCCAGCTGGGATTTGAGTTGGAGGCTCTCGTTATACAAAACAGAGAACTGGGACTGCATGCAACGATATTCCGGGGTTTCCTTCACCACTTCTTCCACCGCCCTCCTCAGGTCCACCTGGTCGGGGCCACAGAGCAGATGGGGAGAGGCAAAAGGAAAACGGTGTCACATCATACACAGCAGGGGAAAGACAATGATCAACAAAGGCCACACTCAACACAAGGGAAGGAGAAGCCAAGGCACCTCATTTTTAAAGGCCTTTGCTCACAACAAGAGAGGCCAGCTGTACCTTCTGGTCTCCATTCACAGTATATAGTCTCTGCCCAGAGTAGGAAACTTTATGGTTGGCTCCAGCAGCCCACTACCATGTAGGAGTATGTCAGGGATACAGGGGCCTGCCAGTTTTGCAGGGATTCCTCGAATGGGACACCTGACGACAGGCCAAGTCCAAGTGACACCAGCACACGTGGTCTAGCTGAGACAGAACCTAAATGAGGCGTCCAAAGCTCCAAGAGAATGGGAGCAGGCCTCAAAGCAATCCAGTGGATAACCAGATTGCTCTTCTGGTTGTAGTACAAACCTACCTCAGAAGAGATTAAACTGTGAAAAGATTCTAAGGCGATATCCAGTTCTTCCTTTGGCAAAAAAAAAAAAAACAACTTCCAATTTCAGGACCTTTATTAAAGTCTGGTAGAAACCAAATAAAGGCAGCTGAGGGATGTCTAAAGTAGGGCTGTGTGAGGAATCCATCTGGGTGTGGGAATCTGTCAGATTCCCTGGGCTCAGCTCCCCAGACTCTGGTCCACTTTGAGACAGCCCCGAGCCTCAGCCACTAGTGAGTGCACCCAACGTTTGTGGGGTGCTCGCCAGGAATTAAGTCCCACATGCTGCACAACCAGCACCCTCCCCCCCACATGCATCGCTGCTGCCACTGGCAGCGGCAAGCAGAGAGGAAGCCTGGCTGCTGGATTGGTGCCCGGCATGTCCACTCACAAGGCCTCTCTTCTGCATCCCTGGCTTGGCTCGTGTTGCAGGAGTGGACCGAGTATGAGAGGGAACCTACTAGAGGGACAGATTCCAAAAGGGTTCATCCCAACCCTAGTTTAGGGTTGTATAGATGGCATTCAGGATTTGATTTCCCACATAGAACATCATACAAATAAGCAGTTTAAAATGATGGCCAGGAGTAAAGCCAATAGCAACAATTGACGCTGTGCTGAAGTATTAATACAGTAAGCACTGCAAAGTGACATCAACAGAAGGTACATGATGCAGCCATCTTGCTGAAGCTATTTAGCTCTGGGCTTGGACGGGGCCTTCATGGGGAGCTGTCTGGGAATCCTGAGTGGGCTGCCTTCAGACGGTATCTATGTTAAACAACAAACCAGTGATTCCATAATCAGGGACTGCTTCTCTTGCTTGAAAGTGTCCCCAACTACCCTCAGATATAAGGATGCCAGAAGAAACCTGAAGTACCTTCCGTCTGCTTAGCTGAGCCAGAAGGTGGCAGCCTCACATCAAAAAGTGCTGCACAACAGCAACAAAGTCAATATAACGTCCTGGTTCATGTGCTCAAGTAACACCCAGTTAACAAGCCACTGGTGTCTTGCGCACAGAAGTGGGTGAGCATGCTGCCTGGTGCGGCAGCTTGGCGCGTTGGGCCACCAGCTACAGCCCATAGCATCTTCCCGGAAAGTGAGACCCACCCAGGCCGGATACTGTGCCTTCCCAAAAGTTATAAAGGGTTTCCTGCTGGGGCAAGGACTGTGTCCCTCAGTTCCTGGGTCCCCACCAGCAGCTGCCTACCGCTCAGCTCTGAAAGACCCCAAAATGAAGCTTATTGCTGCATCTTGGCATGAATTCCTCCTCTGGACATACCTCCATCGAGTTGGTGAGTCTCCAACACAGTGGATAACACAATGCGCCACCAGGGTGGGGGGGGGATGGGACAGGAGCCCCTTTCTTACTCTTAGGAAGAAACCTTTCCCAATGCAAGATCAAAGTGACCTCCTATTTTTAAGGAAAAAGGCTTCCCCTGGCTCTCAAAATTTAGGGGAGCACAAGCTAACTTGTACCTTTAACTTGTCATTCTGAGTTGTCACCTCCTCGAGATCCTGACGCAACTTCTCCAGTTCGCTCAAGCGGTTCTGGGCAAGCTCCTTGTTTTCCTCCAGTTCAGCATTCATCTCTTCAAACTAGAAAAGACAGGAGGAAACTGGACCCTTGCACCTCTCTCCCAGCTAGCTTGGCCAACACCCAACTGGTCACACTTAGGATTTACCTTCCGAGCGTTGATGGTGATTGTACCCCCATAAAGACTGCTGCCTGCTCCATACACCTTGTAGCCTTTCGAATTAACCTGCGGGATTAAGACTTGTTATGAAAATTAAAATGAAAACCGTTCACATTCCAACACAGTTGCTATAAACAGGACACCATTAAAATGCTTGTTTCATGGGAATGCAACATGCAGCCTTCTAAACAGTTTGACTACAACTCTCAGGATCCCTCACCATCAACTATACCGACTAAGACTAATGTGAGCCAAAAGCCCAAACAGCCCAGAGACCACAAGTCACCCACATCTGGTTTGTTTGGTCACAAAACCTCACAGTATTCACGCACATTGTTTTCACTGTTATTCTAACCCACAGCAGGTATTCTTTACTTTAATTGATGTATTTATTTATTAAAAGCTTTTCTAACCCATCCACCACTAGTGTCTCGGGATGGCTTACAATAAAAACGAGTAACATTTTAAAAAAACAGCACAGCATCCAACCACTAATAAAACCCCAGTTAAAATCATCTGAACATTAAAATGATGATGTTTTAATAAATAAAAACATTTTTGCCTGACTCCAAAAAGAAAAAAGCATCCGTGCCAGGCAAACCTCTCTGGGGAGCATATTCCATAGTCAGGGCACCACCGCAGAGAAGGCCCTCCTCCAGGTAGTCACACTCCTAATCTCATTCAGGGAGGGCTCCTGCAGCAGGACCTATGCCTCAGATCTCAAGGGAAGGGAGGGCACATAGGGAAGAAGGCGCTCCTTCAGGTATCCCAGACCCAAGCCATTTAGGGCTATATAGGCCATCACCAGTACCTTCAATTGGGCCTGGACTTCAATTGGCAGCCAGTGCAACCGATAAAAGGACCGGCATTATGTGTGAGTACCTGCCAGTCCCTGTCAACATCCTGGCAGCTCTATTCTGAACCAAGTGAAGTATCTGGACTGTCTTCAGGGGCAGCCCCACATAGAGCGTGTTGCAGTAGTCCAATCGGGAAGTTACCAGAGTATGGGTCACCGTTAAGCAAGTTCTATGCCAAGTGGCAGAAGATTAATACTAAGCAAATGATGAGTATGAGGATTTTACATGGCCTCTCCAGGTTCTTGTCAAAATTCCACATTTCCAAAATACTTCTCTGCAACCATGTGAACCAGAAGATTTTTACTTTTTAAAACTACATGAGAAATTTAGAAGTGGTAGGATTTTGGGAAGCATTCAGCCTAAATGCCTGGGATACTACATTTGCTCCTGTCTGCTCACTGGGTTACAAGCAGAGCTGTGTGTATGTGATGAAACTTTAAATAGAGATGCCCATTTCAGAGTGCTGATTTCGGAGCCAAGTCCTACATTCAGAGCTTTTCCTGTACTCCCACAGGATGCTACCCTGCACACTGACCTAGTTTTATTATAAATGAAACACTCCTTTTAAGGAAAAGGAATGAGTAAATGTTTCTTGTAAAGAATTTATCAAACCCTAGGCATCTAGAGTACAACAGTTTTAACTACAGGAAAAATCCAAAGTGATGTTAACCTTGGATTGCTCGGACTGTTTCCTCCCCCACACATGGCAGATAAGATTTTGAGTGCATTTGTTTTGTTTTTTTTTTTAAGGCCAAAATTTAAAATGTTGTCCCTTCAGCTAATATCTTCTCCTCTTCATTCCCAAACCAAGTTTCTTCAGATGGATTCATTTGCATTATTTTCTGATGCAAAATTCAGATTATTTTCTGAATTTTAAAACAATACAACTATGGACTGAAACTTCTTAAGTACTGAGGGCTGCTTTTGGGACACTTATTAAGAAGTGAGAAGTTCCTCTAAAACATATTAAAATCCAAGAAAATAAGTATATAAAATGTTTCTTCCTCCTGAAAAAAAAACCAACCAACTGTTCCAATATTCTTCAGCACTGTTCAAACCCTGGAACTGCTACTGAAGGCAGTGGAGCTTACGCGTTCCAGGACATCCGCCAGGTGCCTGTTGAGCCGTTGCTCCCGCTTGCGGATTTTGTCAATGTCCCACTGCAAGTCATCAATCATGGTCTCAAGCACAGATACACGAGACTCCGCTGCCTCCACTTTCCCTTGCAATTTGGAAAACTGAAGGAAGGAAGGAAAGCCACTGTGAGAATGGACACCATTTGCAGTCGCCTGTACATCAATGCAAAATATCAAGACATACATCAATGGGACCAGGCCCACCTTCTCCAAGACGGGGCACAACTGACCCACCAGTCAAAGTTGGGCAGCGGCATTCCTTGCCACCGTAGCCACCCAATGGCCCCAGGAGCAATACTGCCTCCGGCTGCACCACCAAGTTCTGAACCTGATCCTGCAGGTGAAGTACAACTCCATGCAGAGCAAACTGTAGTGCCAAACCTGGGCTAGTTGGTTTGCTGACCCAAAAGACCTCTACTCTGTGTGGATTAAGCTCCGGTGTGTTGGCTCTCATCCAAACCATCTCTGTGTACCCTCCATCCCACCGACACGGCCCAAAGAACCTAGGAATTCAGCAAACACCAAAGCAGCTACAAGGAAGCAGAATGACTCTACCCCGATCAATACAAAGATGCAAGATGGGAGAGTAGGGACATGTATGGAGAACGTATTTCCCAAGGAAAAAGGAGCACCAGAACTACATGTCTGAAAGCTACAAGCTGTTATTGTTACTGGCTTAGCTTTGCCAGCAGCCTCTGCCATGTAATTCTGAGCCCAGATTTACACCATTCACACCATCACATCGAACAGTGACCTGCTGCAGTGATGGCCTGGCTTCCCACCTTCCCTTGCTCCCAAGATACTCATAGGATGCTCCAGTTACAGCCATTCCCTATCACTTAGCAGGCCTCTGCTCAAGTCCACACCAAGGAGGAGAGACTAAGATTGCTTCCATTAGCTGTGGGAATTACAGTGTATGCCACAGGCCATCATCCCAACAGCACCTTTTATCAGCATCAAACCCTCCATAGCTTCTCAGAAGCCGAAGCAATTCCTTTGACTTTATATCAACAAAAGAAAAGCAAGTCAAGCACAATGAACAGCCACTGATGCTCTAATGTTCACAAGGTGGATTCAGTTGGTTCCTGCACTCTCAGCCTAACTGTTCAGGTACACCCAACTTCATCCATTCCTGGGTCCAATTATCTCTGTCCCTCTCTCTCTTACTCATACAAACACACACACCCCACCTGCCAAAATAAAAGCATCTCCCTAACTTTGTTGATGGCCTGACTTTTGCATCGCCTATCTTTTCCTTGTACCTCTTGAGACATGGAGCGGTGCTTTTCCTGCAGCAAATCAGCCAGTTCCTGCAGCCGTCTGTTCTCATTTGCCAGGTAGGAATTCAGCTCTTGGACAGCCTCCTCCATGAGACTAATATCTGAAGGAAGAAATGAATTCAGGATCCTGCTGTGAAATACGCCTGAAGCCAGGAGACCTGGGTAGATTCTGAGCAAAACAGGGTACTAGTTATGCTATTCAGTGTCCTTGGCATTTCAACAATCTATTCATTTTGTTGTTTACAGCTACATAAACACTTGCTTTTAAAACAAGCCTTCAAAACTGTGAGAACAGCAATGATAAACCAGAGTGGAAATCTGAGTAACTGAATGACTAACAAAAGATTAATAAATATTATTAATAAATGGCAGCAGCATCCTGGAAAGCTCCTTTTTATTCAAATCTGCATATGCATGCTTATATCAAACTCTACCATTTGCCCATTGCTAGATCTAGTGTAGGACTGTAGATCAGAGATTTGCAACACAATACCTGCATCCACCACCAAGGGTGTCTACACAACTCTTCACTCCCTGCCCATTACAAAACATGTTTTGTTAATTTTTTTAAAAAATGTAAGGTGCCAGGTTTCCATCTTGTTCATGAAACTAGCATTGATGCTCTGTATAGCTGGCATGAAGGGAATTCAAGGTGGAGGGGAGAGAGAAAGGGGGTATACAGCAAGGTACAAACATGAGTAAGAAAGAAAGCGAGGGTAGGGGCTTGAAACAGAGGGAAAAAAGAAGGTTGAGGACCAGAAAGGGAGAGAAACAGTGAGGGAAAGGTCTGCATGAAGCAACATGTAGAAAGAGAGCGTGTGAGAGCCAAGGGAAAAGGACTGTGTGGCAGAAAAAGCTTGGGCAGGCCAGAAAAAAAAAATCTTCATTTCCTCCTCCCTCCAAGCCTATTTCTCTCCCTGCTCCCACATCTCCTGACACTCTAGCCCCCTCCACAGCCATGATGTGACCAAGTCAATCCTCCATGGAAGACATTTTGTTGTGGTGCCCACAGGCATTTCTTAAATTGCTATATCTGCCCACAGGTTCAAAACAGGTAGGAACTCCTGTTGTAAATGAAATAAGCAGAGGCCCACATGTGCACACAAATTACTAGGCCTCACAAACACCCAGCACCATCAACACACATTATGAGAAGTAAAATTACATGAAAACAAATGGCTTGTTCTGAGTGAAGAGGACTGTGGGTGGCTGGGCCAGTTGGGAAGGGTCGAGTCTGGCTCTAGCAGCCACTTATATCATTTTATGGATGCCTGTGGCCCTCAAGATGTTGTTAGATTCCAACTCGCATAAGTCCCGGCTAGCATGGCTAAGAGTCAGGGATGATAGGAGGCCAACATCTGGAGAGCCCAGTTCCTTAACCCTGCTGTAAGTTAACTGAAATGCATTTCACCCTTAACTGTACAGCACAACTGCAAAAGACCAAGCACCACAAGCCAACATTTATTTGCCAGGTTGACTTCAAGGTCAATGGGCAATCAATGGAGGAGGTTGGACGGGGTGTCTGTTCCATATCCAGAGAGGCTATTACTGTATGGATGCATGAATCACCCAATATGGCCAATATCTCCAGGTTGATCCCAAGCAGGGGGAAACTTTGGTACAACAGCTGTGATGGTCAAGCTGGATGACCTTAAAGAAGATTAGACAAATTCATGGAGATTAAGCCTATCAGTGGCTACTAGTTGCAACATCTATATAAGATCACCAGTACCAGAGACTTCTGTAAACCATGGCAGGAGAGTGCTATTGCATCCATATCCTTCTTGTGGGTTTCCTACAGGGTTCTGGTTGGCCATTGTGAAAACAGATGCTAAACTGCATTGGCTTAATGCAAGGCACCGGCTTAATGCCGCATTATCCTCCACTGGTTCTTCTTTAGACCGTACCTCCACTGTTCAGCTTCTGGGACAGCACATCCACTCTCTCCTGGAGTTTGTCGTACATGGTCACGATCTGTGTGACTGCGCGGCGGGAGGACTCCACCCTCTCCTGCAACTGAGATTCCATCTCCTCACTGGTGCTGCTGGCCAGGGTCGCCAGAAAGGAGAATGCGGGCTCCACCATCTCTCCTGTGAAGGAGCAGCATGGGTAAAGAAAAGAGGTAGATGCAGAGATTACATTAAATGTGAAGATATGATTACAATATGCCGATGAAAGGGAAAGAAAGAAAAATTTTAAAGATACTGTTAGAAGAATGGGATCTATATGATCCACTTAAAGCAACATGGGAAACAGATCTGAGGAAGAACATTAGCAATGATGACTGGGAAACTACTTGAGCGAAGAGGATATTAAAATATATGTCAGTAAGAATAAAGGAAAATGTTTATAAAATTGTACAGAAGTGGTACCCAAGCCCAGTGAAGTTGAACTGCATAGACAGTAAATATTCCAATTGGTGTTGGAGACGTAGCTTGTGGAATGGGTACATATTTTCATATGTGGTGGGAATGTGAATATATAATGAAGTTTTGGGAAGAGGTTTTTAAAGACGGTATTAAAACATTAAGTTTAAATATCGAAATTTGCCAAGATCACATTTCTTTCAATATTTGATAAGAAATGAAGTTGAAATAATAAAGAATAAATTATTTATTATTAAATTGTTAAATAACAAATGTAATAAGTGCTGAGAGATTAATCATAGCTAAGAATTCAAAGGTAAAATATGATTATCAATTATGTGATTGGTATAGAGAATCTTGGAATACAGCTATTCATGATAAATTAACTTGTGACATTAAACTGAGAAAAGGGCTTATAAAGGATAATAAGTTTAATAAGATTTCTTGAATATGTGGTTTAAAAAAGGGAAAGGATCTGAACCAACAAAAGAATCACTGCAATTTTGGAAGGGGGAAATGTCCTGAAAGAAGTTTTGAATGAGGGGTTTTTTTCTGTAACACGCATCCTATGGTTCCAGTGTTGGGGTGCACAATATTTTAATTTTAATTGTATGCTAAATGTCACATGTTTTTATTTTTGCTTTAAGTTCTTTTAAAACTGCATTTTATATTGTAAAATTAATTTAATTTAAAAAAGAAAGAAAAACAGACCAGTGCAAGAAAAACTGCCATGAGAAGATGCAATTCCGAGCTCCCCAAAACCCAGAGGTCCCATTCATCATTATCCTGTTGTGAGAACACATTGTTGTAAACCACCCAGAGAGCTTCAGCTACCAGGTGGTATAGAACTTAAATAAATAAATAAATGGAGAAAGCTTTAAACAACCCCAAAGCAGGCAAGTGAATCCTTACCCCGTTCCCTCTCATCTTTGCGCTCCTGGTTGCTGTCCGAATCAGGCTCAGGTTCTGGCACCACCAGGGCTTTCCGCTCTGACAGGAGGTCTCCGAGGCCTTGGTCCAAATCATAGCGCTTCAAAATGATGCGTATGTTCTCATCAAACTGGAAGGGGGGAACCCTCTGTTTAATTTTTGAGATGGTTGGAGCAAATACAATGTAGAGGAAGGGACTGTGAGAGCGGTTATGTGGCTGACCTGACTCCAGTAGCGGTTGACAATCAGCAGTGAAGCATCGTCCGTGGCCTGCCGCCTTTCCAGCTTCTCGATGTGTTCCCGCAGCTCATCCTCAATGGCCTGCCGCTGGTCCAGCATCTCTGCCAGCTTTCGGTTCTTAGCCTGGAGGGTGCGAATGTCCAGTTCCTCCTGAAAGCACACTGTCAATTATTTAATTCACGGCCATCTCAGCCTAGGCCTACTTCTCCCCAAAATGGTGGCTTTGGGCTGTATCACCTCACACTGCAGAAGGGAGTCTGTGCGAGGAAATGCTCCCCCAGTATACCCCAATCCAAAAATCAAACGAAATCAAAAATCAAAGTTAATATGGTTACCTGAAGGAGCGCTTACATCCATATATGCCCGACCGCCCCTTGAGATCTGCGGGAGAGGCCCTTCTCCGGGAACCCTCCGTGAAAGAAATTAGGAGGGTAGGTACTCGGAGGAGGGCTTTCTCTGCGGTGGCGCCCAATCTATGGAATATGCTCCCCAGAGAAGTCCGCCTGGTGCCGTCGTTATTTCGTTTTTGGTGCCAGGTGAAGACCTTTTTATTTAAACGTCATTTTAATTGTTAACAATATTTGCTTATTTATCTGGCCAGGGCGACTTCTTTTATATTGTCTATTTATTTTATGTTGTTAATTTTAATTTTATATTGTTATTTTTGTATTTTATTGTATTTTATTGTGTTGTAAGCCGCCCAGAGGCTTCGGCAAGGGGCAGCATAGAAATGTTTTAATAAATAAATAAATAAATAAATATGTCAGAGAGACAAGTTCTAGATTAAGCATGCTAGCTTTTTAGAAGCAAAGAGTTAGGGAGACAGGGGGACTATGGACAGTCAGCCTAGTAAACCTTCACCAATAGCCCAGGAAGAGGTTTACCACCATAATGAGAACTAGAACCAAAAAGCCCGGGGGCAGGAGGTACACAAATTTTCCCTGAGACATTTTTTGCTCTTTGTGGGAAAAAAAGGAAGCTCTTTTTGTCCCCCTTAGCTTTTACATATTCAATGAGAACCAGGCTTCAAAAAGCCCAGTTGATGAAGCTTATCTCAAAAGCTACACGAATTAATATGCAAGAAAAAGCAAAACAATATGGCATTCAGGGGTGGAATTAATTCAGCAATTTATGCATCCATTAAGAAATACGAAATGATAGCACAAAAAGGAATACAAACCGTAGAGGAGACACCACCAAGTTTAATGGTTTCCACAGTAGTTCCTGAGTCTTCAACACCCGCCTTCTTCTCCGGAGGCCCTGTTGGACTAGAGTCTGTCGCCACTCGTTTATTTCCAATTCCAGACATGCTGATTCTAGGCTGGACTCCTCCACCTCACCACGTTTTCCCTGGAATAGAGTTTTGGGTTTTTAAGAAAATTGTTTGGGAGATTTTTGTTTGTTTCTTGCTTCTCTGCTTCATTCCATACAGATACACAGCCAGCAGCAAAAAAATCACATTCAAAACATACTTCGAGCAAATTCTACCTGGCATATCAGAATTTTTGTTGGAAGCCCAATAGTTTTCAAATAGAAAACAAACACACTCAGAGTTGAAATCCACAGAATGAAATGGTAAGATGCTTGTTTCCTTCATTCATTCTTCAGAGTTGTTTCTGAAGAATGTGTGAACTTCTGGAATCAGGGCTGAAAAAATACTGAGCTTTTTCCTTTCCTTAACAGATTGGAACTTGAAAAGAGCTATCATCGAATATATCCCTCTTATATGCAGTGTACAAGAGTCGGGCAAGTTACTGGTAATGATATCTCCCTGGTCTACTCACATTACATCTAGCCTGCTTAAAATCATGCATACATATAATGGATGAAAGAAACACAGAGATGAGAGGAAAGAGACTGTAAGATGCCCTGGCTGAAAGAAAAAAGGGGAAAAAACCACTGCAGAAGTCAGTAAATTATAGCAGTTAAGAATGTAGGAATCTGGGTTCTGGTCCTCACTCAGTCATGGATCTCCCTGGGTGACTTTGGATCAGCCACAGACTCACAACCTAACCTACCTCACAGGGCTGTTGTAAGAAAGAGCTCCTTGCAAGCTGCCTTGGGCTCTTTGCAAGAAGAAAGGTAGGCTATGAATGCAATGAAATAATAATAGAAGAGAGTCCAAGAGTTACCATGTTCTGGGTAGAAGAGTACACAGAAACTTGAAACTCAGAGCCAAGGTTCAGGGGACTAGGAGTGGTGGTGGGGGAGTCGTGGACTCCGTTTTGTTGCAGTCCAAAAGCACAGTGTACTAAGGACCAAGATTTAAATGCCGGATGAATCAAACCTCAACAATGAACATCACATTCAACAAAAGTGAGGCCTTGGGTCATTTCTGTAACATCTGGAAGAGCTTATGAAGACAGTATCAAGTGGTGGGCTCTGTGCCCCCTCTTTCTTACCCCCCTTCTTTCCCCAATTTCTCTTCTCTATGGGGCCTGTGGGAATGAGAAGGAAAGAGAGCATCGTTCAAAACAAAGCTTCTATACTCTTAGTGCAGGGAAAGGCAATCCAGCGTCCCCCACTGTCTCGCACTAAAGCTGCCATATAGCCCCTGCCGATTGGCCAGGCCGGCAGCCCAAAACAACCTGGAACGTATCGGTTCGCAGACCCCTGCCTTAGCGCTCTGCACATGCCTAGAGGCCGCCTATCCAGGGCAACACAGGCTTTGAAGTCGGAAGCTGGCGACTGCAGGGATTACGCGGCCAGCTCGCAGCCAAGCGCAGCCCGGTAGCCGGGGCTCTGCGGGCCACCAGCCTCGCACACCCCGTTCAAGCGCTGCAGCGAGCCACCCACCCGCCCGCCACTCGCGAAGACACTGAGCCGCCCGCGCCTCCCCGCCTCCCCCACCCCCGAGCGAGGGTCCCCCGCGTTACCGCGGCTCCGGCTCCCGCGCGCACTCACCAGCCGCCCCCCGAGCCTCCGCCCTCCGGCCCGCCAAGCAGGAAGCAGCCTTCGCGACAACGGCGGCTTGGCCAATCCTGGCCTCGTTTCTTTACCCGCCCCGCGCCCTTCCAGCACTAGCACATGCCCTTAGCCAAAATGGCTACCGGCCGCGAACCAGTTTTAGGAAAAGTGCGACAGATCCAACATCCGCAACTTCCGCGTCTCCGCATGGCCTGGAACGGAGCGAGAGGCTCCGACCAAGTGCGTAGAGCCATCTTCCCTAATTTGATGCGTTGATTGTTTTGGACCACCACTCCCAGAAATCCTGGCCATTAGCCTTGGTTGCTGGGGCGGATGGGAAGCGAGGTCCAAAATTTTGGAGGGCACCTCGGAGAAGGAAGGTTGAAGTTTAGGATTGCAACCTAAATTACATTGCTTCTTTGTACAACCCGAAGTGTGTTTTGTGAGTAGAATTGCTGGAAGAACTTGCAAAGCAGTCCGCACAGAAGTGCCCAGACGGGAGTTTGGGGTAGAGCCCGCCGACTGAACAGCACCGACGATCCAACCATGCATGATCGTTCTTTGGAAATGCAGTCTTGGGGTATGTTGCAAAAGTAACTGCCGCCCGCTGTGTGCAGGGCTGGTCTTAGGCATCAAAATAACCCAGGGCTCAGGCGCACAGCATGAATAAACAAAGAAAAATTAAAAATGCACATATTTGCATACAATAATTCACACGTTGCATTCAGACCACGTGGGATTGAGAGGCGCGCGCGCGCTCTCGGTGTCACGCATTCCTATGGACAAGCTTCAAAGCGCTCAGCCTTCCCCAAATCTCGTCCTTCCGCTGCGATCCGCATGCAGTCGAAACACCTGCACCCTTACTAAATATGGCCGCCGACGCCTAGTAACTCCTATGGGTTTGTAGTTCTCCAGACCTTAAGAAACATGTCTGCCTATTATGCCCCACTTACACTAAATCACATATTTCTCTTTATTCCCCGCGGCCGCGACGGTCTTTTCGTTCAGAGTTGTCATAGCTACCTGCCATTAAAATAAAATTCTAGAACCAAGCTAGGTGGGTAATAACGGTTTCTCACAAATACTGTTCTCAAGTTAGAAAAAGAGGCCTAGGGGGAAAGATCAGCAATAAAATTGGAAATGGAAAGAGGAATCTACCCATTGGAATAATAAAGTAACAATTTCAGGAGCTGTGTTAAGAGTACAATCCCGTGTATGTCCATGCAGAACTAAGTACCACTGAATTCAATTGAGGCTATTTCCAGTTAAGCAGAGAAGGTACAGTTTTAGTCTGATGCACAAATAGGTACAACTTTCATTGGTTACATCATGCAATCATTGCCACATAACCAGGCCTGAGGAAAAACCCTCTTTTCTAGAGATCACCATATGTGCATCCTTAAAATGCAGCTGACATTGAGCAGGCACCATTCCAAAGAAAGCTACTTGGCACTTGACAGCAGCAGCTCAAACTTCACACCAGCCCACCCCATCCTCCTCCTCTTCTATGTAATAGCACCCCATCCTTTCTGCTCTTTTGAAGCATCTCTGGTACGCAAATGAGTAACTTTTTACTTCTGTAACCTATTGGAAAGTGCTGTGTTATGGGTAACCCTCTAATGAGCAGTGTATAAAAGGGCTAACTGAGGACTGCTCAGGCATGCCATGTGGAACCTTTTATTGGTAGCAGGTTATTCCTGAGAATAAATCATTTAAAAGAAAACCTTCCCCTGCTGTGTATTTTGGACATATGCACACCAGGACACAGTCCCTTTTGGTCAACAAGTCTGTTGCAGCAAAAACAGCTTTGCAATCCAATACCCACTTATTTGGCAATAAGCCCACTGAAGTCAATGGAACTTCCAAATTGTTGTTAGTATTAAATTAGTTAGTTAGTTTGTTTATAAAATGTGTATGCTGTCCAATTACTTGTGGCTTACAACATAAATAAATTGACCATCCACACTGGCTGCAAATTAATAAAATACAACAATAACTTTCAATATTAAAACATATTAAAATATTGATTAAATAAAAAGGTCTTGACCTGGCGCTGAAAAACATATAATGACAGCGCCAGGTGGACCTCTCTGGGGAGCGCATTCCAAAGTCGGGGCGCCACCGCAGAGAAGGCCCTCCTCCGGGTACTCTGTCTCCTAACGTCTTTCACAGAGGGTTCCCGGAGGAGGGCTTCTGTTGCCAATCTCAGGGGGTAGGAGGGCAAATAGGGAAATTTACATTACATTTTTATCCTGTTTTTTCCCCTTTCAAGGAATTCAGATAGCTTACATAGCCTTTGTCCTCTCTTTTTATCCTCACAACAACCTTGTAAAGTGGATTAGTTTGAGAGTCAGTCCACAGTCACCCAGTGAGCTTCATGTTTGAGTGGAGACAAATATGGCCTAATCACAATGACAGCTGTCCCCCATGTAGCAACGCCTCCCAAATACCAGGAGAGGCAAGGATGGGGCAGCTGAAACAAGTTGGAGAAGGGTGGTCCAACTTTCTCTATCTCCAGGGCCGCATGAGGACCTCCACATGGAACCCAGAGGAAGCTCTTTCTCCTACTTACGTTGTAAGCCGCCCCAAGATGCCGAGGCATGAGGGGACGGCATTTAAAAGTTTTAAATTAAATAAATCAATAAATACTGCAGGCCAAGCACAATGACCGCTCCTCCGGGATGCCCCATCCCTTTCTTCCCTGTCTCCCCCACCCAGAAATGCTCCCATGTGACCCCACTGGCCCCTCCTTCCTTCTTGGGATTGGTGCACTGAGCTTGTGCTTGAGCCAATGAACTCTCCCCAGCATGCCCCGCCCACTCCTGCATATGTGTGCAAAGGCGCCTTCGTGCTGATCAGCTGGAGCAGTGCTGGGCATGCTGGGGTGAGCCCTGCCAGCCCGCCAGCCCAACCCACTCTCTTCCAGAGCCTCAGTCCACTGAGATCCAGACTGGGAGGGGAAACAGAAGGTGCTCTGAGCAGCAAGGGGGCCACAGAACAAGGCCTAGGGGGCTGCATGTGGCCCATGGGTCGCATGTTGGACCACCCTGAGTTGAAGCCATACTAGACTGAAGCAAGAACATGTCACTAGAAGAATGGGCAGAGCAGAGGGAGAGGAATGAAAACGTTTAATCAGCAGTATAAGGTTAGAAACTTGCACTGCTTGGGTGGATGCTGCTTGGAGCCTTGCCTTGCTTGCCTGTGTGTTGTCCCCTTTATTCCTGGAATAAAGCTGCCTCCTTGTGAAAAGCCATCTGGACTGGTTTGTTATTGGACAGGTGCACCAGGCAAACTCACTGCCTTACAAGACTTCCTAGATTTGGTTAACAGCTAGAACCTGGATCTGCTGAATCCAAGTCCAACACATTAAAAGCCACATATTATTGTTTTGTGGCACTTTTGTGGCAAAACGTCTTGAAGCACCTTACACAGAGTGCAAAAATCCATGATTAATATGGATTTGCATGAAGAACAGCATAAAAAATTTCAGATAAAAGTGATAAAATATAACAGGAAGAAGAAAAGCCCAAATTAGGCATTAGCAGGAAATATGATTAAAACCACATAAAAAACAATATGAAAAGTGGCCTACAAATCTTCCTACTCTCACAGCCTATAACATCAGCAAAGCCACCCAAAACAATTTGGCCATAACCAAAGCCCAAGCCTGGGAAAACAAAGGTTGGTGCCAAAAACATGACAGATGTAGACAACTGTGCTATTAAAGAGCCATGCATTTATTTTGTCAGAAGCTTTTGTGGACTGCAGTCTGATTTGGGGAAGATAGTAAGAAAGCAAGATCAGACAGCAATAAAATGCAAAAACTAAAGGCAGTGAACATTACATTATTAGTGGTCATTCACAAAAACAGTTGTTAGTGATAACATATTCATACCAGCTGTAAACTGTCGTGGTCCATTTATTTGCATACTGCATTTCCACAATGCACTGTGTACAAAGCAGTTCACAAAAACATACAAATAGAATAACTGCAATAATCTGTTAATTTGTAGCTTGTTAAGGAAGCACACCAGAGACAATGACCTTGTAGCTGCCTTCCCCAGACATTCTGTAGATAAGGTGGTGGGAACACAACTGTTTACCTTCCTGAAAGCTTGAGTCCTGACAGACTCTGCAATATTGGGGTGGAGGAGCTTTATAAAACCCTTATTCCTCTGCCTGGGGAAGGGAATTGACACATCACTCACACAAACTTTTTCTGACTGTGAGAGCAACATGACAATGGAAC